ACAGCCAGATAGGACCCACTAACTGGAGGTTTGAAGAATATCACGTCATAGAGTATGGGTCTGTATCACAATCTAAATTCTGGCTGAGTTCACCAATGAAGAAAGAAGCGAAACACAGGATTGTCAGCACAACAGTCACTACTCACAAGTACAATCAAAGGACAAAAACAAAATCACCCAAACACAAACAAAATCAAGAGTGTATTATAAGTTTGTTGAATTGGAAAAACCTTTAATAGATCTCTTTTGCCAGAGATCTCCCTTCAATATAAGATGAAAGAAAATATAGTGAAAATGCTAAAATAAATATAACTTCTGAAGTTAAGGTAAGATAAAGTTAAACTATGAAATGTCACGTAAAGAAGTCTAACAAAAGTTAAAACTTACCCTAGAATCTCACTTTAAGGTTTTACAAAGTCAAAATGTGAGTGAAGCTTAGTAAAAAATTTCAGCAAAATTTCAAACATTCTTACAAATTCTGCCTAACAGAGGAGATCATGGCTTTAAAGTTAAAGAGAGAATAGAAATAACTACAATGCCAGGTTGCACATGTCATGTGTTTGCACACATTACTTTCATCTACTGGGATTCAAATGCAAGAGTTGAGCAACACTAGGCCATTACGTTATTTGCATCTATGGCATCTAATCAGTCTGTTTTGTTTACAGTTGTAGAATGCCAGTGAAGTATTTAGTTTCAGTGAAATGCTTGGATTAGTATTATTTATCACGTATATTCTAATACTTGATCAGTCAGCTATGAAACTGTGGAAATAAATTTATTTTCATATTCAAATTGTTTTCACGAAACAATTTAAAACAAACTCGCACAATGAAAGAACAACACTATTGTGACGGGTAGGCATTTAGGCTAGTCGTTGGTGCTTCGACTTTTACCACCAGTCACACTCATTTATTTAAATGAGAATACAGTACACACAAGTCACTAGCTCGAGGAGTTTAGGATTAGAATAAAGAATGACTCAGAGACGGGGATTACACAAAAACATCAGTCTTTAATAACACTTTTTAAAGAGGCGATTACAACACTTACATTTGTTGTTCACTTAACTCAATTAATTTCTCATCAATTTCCAATAGTTCATTTATTACTATTAACACCTTTTCAATCACTGTGTTACTATAGGTATATTCAGGTATTACTAGCTATATTATACATTTAGTTTCTTAGTTACATTGATTGACTGAGAGAAATATCGTTTATAACTTACATCAAAGTTGGAGTGGCAAGCTTGCTTTTTTAAATATTGGATACCTTCAGCATCTTGAACTTGTTATTTACTTTCTGTCTCAGAGAACTGAACTGCGAACAACTTCTCAACTGAACTGAACTATCATTCTGAGGAGAACTGATATTTAGCTCCCAACATGAATTTTTAAATGATATCTTCTCAGTATCCTTACGAGTTTCCAAATAGTGTGCATAGCTACCCGCAAGTAGTTCTCACACTTCATTGGTTAATTTCTGCAACTCATCGTATTTCCCACAAACAAATCCCCAAAACTCTCAAGTAATTGGTTGCCTGTTGGGAGCAGTGAATTGGTGGCCTTCTAACTTGGATAATTACACCAAAATCCGTAAAAGATACTGCCTCAAGAGTTCCAACCATGGTAGTTAACCCCAACTTTTTCATATCTTCCACTGTACTAAAAGGCTAGTGTCATCAGTTCATCATTGTCAAAGTCGTGGTTTACTTATACTGGGCTCTTTCCTTCTACTAAGCATAGCTATGAGCGTCAGTTTTCTCTATAGCTCCTTCATTTTTCTGTAGCTAATTGGTTAATTGTACTTTGCCTGTTTTAAACTAGAACTAGGCAATTTTTTCGTACGTCATCTTCCTTGGGTGGGCGTGAAGACCAAAATCTTTCTTTACTGTTTTTCTCAATTTTTATTTAATTATCGGTGCAATTGTATGAAATATCTACTATTCCCAATTACTTCACTACAATACAAGTTATCTTTCCTGCAAGTGAACATGGTTAATGGTCAATTCGTAAACAAGGCCTCAGACACAGCTAGAATAAGGAAAAGGCAAGTGAATTGAATTCCTCTCAAATATTAGATAGGTCCACTTAATAATGAGAGGGTTAAGCAAGAAATTTACAAAGTATTCTACATTTGAGCACCCACTGAGTTTTAATTTTTTTAACTGCGTGAGAAATGTGGAAATTGGACACATGTGATGTTAAGTGAAACAATTTCTATTATAAACAAAGCAAAAAACAGCGTGCATACTTGCATAAACCCTTATACAATTGAATCTGGATACTCTATCCCATACCCTTCCAAGTTGTGCTAGCCATGACTTACTACAATCATGGCTGCTTGTTGCTTTACAATCTTCTAATATATTGTTACGTATCTGCTTGTTTGTTAATTTCCCGTAGAAATTCTTCCCGAGATACTTCAGCGATACAAGTCC